TTGTGGTGCTCAATCCAACACCATCATGGTGCTCAATCCAACACCATCGTGGTGTTCAATCCAACACCAAAATGGTGCTCAATCCAACACCATCATGGTGTTCAATCCAATACCATCATGGTGCTCAATCCAACATCATCATGGTGCTCAATCCAGTACCAACATGGTGCTCAATCCAACACCATCATGGTGCTCAATCCAACACCATTGTGGTGCTCAATCCAACACCAACATGGTGCTCAATAACTCCCCACCAACGTGCTCAATCTATCACCACTGTGGTGCTCAGTCCTCTCACTTCTCAGCACACAAGTGAAGTCTGTGCATCCTTTCCCTTGAAACAGCCATCTGGTGGAGCTATGACCCATGTGCCCAAACTAGAGATCCAGATGTGGTCTCCAAGGTGTGGGCAGCGCAGGATGCACTGGGAACAATCCCATGAGATGGGGATACGTAGCAGGAGGTCCCATGGCCTCCAAGTTGGGAAAACGCTCTCTAGGTTGCAAGAAGCTCCCACCCTCACCATGGGAATGTGACGGGCTCTTTTGCAGTGTTCCTGGCAAGCTTTGGCACGCTGTCTGCCATTCGCTACTTCCGACGGCAGGTCAGGGAAGGACGGCCCCGCACCTAGCCCCAGGATAGCATGTACCCAAGGACAGCTGAGGATGGGCACCTTGTTCTTGGGCAGCACGAGGAGCCCGGAGCCCAGCACTGAGACTTCTGAGGAGCCATCCCCAAAGGGGACAAGATGTCACGGGGAGCAGGATCCTTCCGGTGACAACACGGTAGGCGGTTTGTACCTGTGCTGGACAGGAGAGGAGCCTGGCATGGGCCAGCTCTGTTCTTTCTTTGCACACTTCTTGCATATTTATGCTGCCTGCAAGGAGCAGGATTGGCACCCGACCTCCCTGTGGGGGTCACCCACTGTCAAAACACCGAGATGGAGAGCAAAAAGAACAAACAGAAAAAGTGCTTCATGTTCTACAAAAGGGATCGGGGCTGTGCACTGGGAAGAGCCCTGGCAAGGACAGGAGCGTGTCGGAGGGGGCACAAGGAGTGCACATGTGGCTCCAATGGGTGCCAGCCCTGGGGTCTGTTTGTTCCATGCTGCTCCTGTCCTGGAGACATGGAGTGGGAGAAGGAGGAGGAGGGTGAGCGTGACCTTGTGGGGGACGAAGGGGTGAGAGGCAAAAACAAAATGGTTCTGTGTCTGGTCACCCAAGAGCATTATTCAAGAGGGTTTTCTGCACTCACAAGTCTGCGAACAGCAGAAACGAGGGGTTGGGTAGGCACTTAGGGACCAGATCCACAAAGGTACGGGGGAAATCTGCCCTAAAATCCCATGTGGGTCTGCCTAGGAGCTTTATAGGAGCAGCCCGATGCAACAAGGGGCAAGAAGAAGAGGTTCTGCTCTTCTTTTACAATACAGAGTGCCATGCATGGGTTGCACTGAAGACCTTAAGTGCAGAGCAGAGAGCACACAGTGCAATTATGCAGTGGGATACATATCAGCACGTGATGAGGGAGAGATACTGGCTCTGAAAGACTGAGAGACTGTGTAGGAGCTGTACGTTGGGTATGAGGAGTTGTGTGGACGAAGAGAACAGACTAAATATGCTGGAAGCTTCCAATAAAGATCTATCTCCTTTAATACTTTGTGTGCATTCCCGTGTCTGCATGGTGAGCTCCTTCAGAGCCTGGGCTTTCCAGCGCTCACCTCTCTTAGCAGCCAGGTGAACCCGAGGTGCAAGTGGGAGCAGCCAGCAGCTCAGCATCTCAGCCCCACCACCACCATAGAAACGACCTTTTGGGTGCATCCTGGAGGCTTCGTGTGTGTCACCAAGGTGGGCGCAGTGCCACCCTGCCCTGCACGCAGCTCCCATGGCTGTCACCTCCTTGAAAAAGTCAGGCAGGTGCTGGCCTGCTTGCACCATGTGCGCCGAGGGGGCAACGGCTCTGTGCTGCAATCTGCTTGGCCACAGCAGCTCCTTTTATATTTCAGTCACATCCCCTGTCATGAGATGAGAGCAAAGCTTCCTGCGGACATTTCTGTTAGGTCAGGGCTGTGTCATTGCCAGCAAGAGGGCTTCAGAGGGAGCGCTGGGAGCTGGAACGGCGCAGTGGGACCGTGCTGCTATTGCCACCTCCTGCTGTATCAGAGCAATGCCAGGAGGAGATATTTGAGTCTCACCCAGATGGAGCCCAGGAGCCAACACTGCATCCATGCACCAGGGATGCAATTTAACCCAGTGCAGCTGTGGGGGCAGAGGGCTGCTGCTGAGGGTTGCAGTGCTGCCAGCAAGGCCGAGCAGCTTGCTGCAGGTGCATGGAGTGAATTGGAAAGCCCCTTCCTGAGACCCCCAGGACACGAGGGGAGAGTGAAGGCAAAGGGATGGCAAAGAGAGAACAACGCCTGCCAGAGGAAGGTGCACTGTAATTGTAGGGCTCACAGTACCATTCCATTCTGAATAAATAGATCCTGTTGGTTATTAGTACACAGCTTCCCAACAAAAGGTAAACCTGGAACGACACAACGACAGCAGAAGACCCAACCCAACACACGCACCGCAGCACCGAGCCTCATCCACAGCTTCAACATTAAATACATCTCCGACTCAGCCACATGTACACATTAAATACATCAAATTCACTCGAACCTCGCAATGTAAACTTTGCTGGATACCTTCTGGAAAATACAGGTAAGTACAATGTAATACGTAGACATTCAAGTACAAAACGCTGCTGGGTTGCTTTGTGTGCACCAAAACAGAGATTTCATCGCTATGTTTGGTTTGCAGCCTCCGGAGGGGACAAAGGTTAAGAATTTGGAGCCTCAGGTAAAAAAGAAAACATTTGGGTTTGCTGCTGACCTCATATGTGCTGAGGGATCTGGCCAAGAGGCTGCAGAGCGATAGCACCCAGACTCTGTCCCCTGTTGTTTGTGCCCTGATCTCTCCAGGTGCCCCCAGATGCTGAGGGATGGGAGGAGGATGTGGCCCCCTTCCCCCCTCCCCCCTCGCAGTGGGAACCATTCTGGGATGTCCTTAACACTGCTCCCAGGGATCGCTGCGGATCCCTTTGCTTCCCACACCCACTGGGGTGGGAGAACAGAGCCCAGGGGTCATCCTGTGCCCGGTGAGACCTCTGCTCACACTTCATAGCAGGGTGCTGGGCTGTCTGGCTCCCTGCCCTCGGCGTCCCACAGGTTGTCATAGCTGAGCTCGCTCTGGAAGCTCTGCAGCTCAGCGTAGTCGTGGTACACTGCAGAGTCACGGTGCAGGCAGCCGCCTTCTGGCACATCGTAGGCACCCATGCCATCATCTGCAGGGAAACAGCACAGCCCTGAGAGTTCCTCCAAAGCAGCCTGATTCAGCTGCCTGCGGTCAGCAAGGAGGAGGGAAGGGCACACATGGGTCCCTGCACTCCTCCTTCTGCCCTGCTCCAAAGACACCAATGGGGAACGTGGATGAGGCTGGAGATGGGGATGGAGAACCCAGCAGCACCCACGGGCCTCACCTGGTGGCTGCAGCAAGGGGCCCAGATGTTCCTCTGGCAGAGATGACACCTGGAAAGGAGGAGATGAACCAATTGGGATGGCACAGTGCCGCAGCCCTGGGGTACCCCATGCCCTCCCCACTCCCCAGGTTGCACCCACACAACAGGCTCCAACCCTGAGAGAGACAAATCAAGTTCCCAGCCCCTCCCAGGTGCTTACAGAACAGCACTGCAGGGCTGCTCCCTGCCCCTGGGCTGCACTGACAAACTCACATTGGCAAGGTATGGAGCATCTGCAGGAAGCTGAGGGTGTCTCTGTGCCCCGAGCACCTCCATCCAGTGCCTGCCGGGCAGGGGCTGGGCAATCTTCTGACACTGCAGGACCTAAACAGAGCAAATGGCAGAGCTGATGCCCACCATCGAGGCCCCCCACCAGATTGCTTCCCTACGGCAGCAGTCAGGGCTGCTATTTCCACAAGCATCACAGTGAGGAAAACGGAAGGAATCGGAGAGGAGGAACCCTTACGTTGCTCATTTCCAGCTGTGCTGGGGGGTCTGTGGGGCGATGCGGTGTGCTATAGGTGCAGTAGGGCTCAGTGTACAGCGCAGGCAGGATGGGGTGCTGGGAGATGAGGCTGCACGGTGCCTGTTCCACATCCTGAGTGCCTGGACCACATCTGCCTTTGGGCTTCTTGGTGCTGCTGCCCCTCCGCAGCTCCTGCACAGGCAGCACGGTGCTTGGCCAGTTGGTGTGGGGCAGGCACTGCAAAAAGGCAAAGCTGGCTCTTTTCCATCAGCCTGGACCCACATGTAAGCAATGCATGGTCACCGCCTCGCTTGGGTGCTCCACCTGCTCCCTTCCCACTAATTTCCTGGGATTTGGGCATGGGTTTCACTCACATGGAGAGGTTGGGAATAACCAGGGCTGTGCGGCTCCTCCAGCAGCATGAAGGACTGAGCGTCGTGCAGCGAGCCGCTGTGCTGGGACAGGTGTGTCAGGGTGTTGGTCCCTTTCCCTCCAGATGCCCAAGAGTTGGTGCGGCCATCGGAGGCCAGTGAGCCTCTCCCACTGCCAGCAAACTGCAGGGGAAGAGAAAAGGTTTGCATCAGAGCAAACCTGAGCATCCCAACACCCTGCATTGACATGTGCTGCTCCATAGGGCTGAGCATCCTACAGATGGAGCTCCCTAGGGCTGAGCATCCCACAGATAGAGAACCCCAGGGCTGAGCATCCTACAGATGGAGCTCCTTAGGGCTGAGATACCTATGGATGGGGCTAAAGCTTCACAGTCCAGCTCAGCCTGGGCTCTTTCATCAGGGCCACCCATCCCCATCCCCACTGGATTTATACTGGTTTCCACACAAATCCGCAACAGCTGTTACCTGGCTGAGGTGTGGCAGCTTTGATCCTGAGAAACTCTCTGATCCGGACAAGGAGGAGTCAGCATTTCGAAACTGGGCAGTTTTGAGGCAGTAGAGCCACTCCTGGTAATCCTCATAGCTGCGGCAGATGACGCGGATGGAGTTGATCAGCCGGCCTGCGAGACAGCATCACGCGGGGCTGCTGCTGGGGCCGGGCTGCAGCCCACGGTGCCTCCCCCAGGAACCCATGGTCATTCCCATACCCATTCCCCATCCCCTATCTCCATTCCCATCCCCACACTGCATCTCCATACCCCATTCCCCTTTAGCCATCCCCACACCCTATTCCCATCCCTCAACTCCATCCCCCAATCCCCATCCCCACCCCCATTGCCATCCCATACCCCATCCCCACACACCATACACCATCCCCACACACCATACACCATCCCCA